ACACATGCATAGACTTTATGCACATATCTGTTGCATACAAAACTAATATTATTTATATAGTTGAACACATTCTATCATTCTCTACATGTACATGATGTAGGTGAGGTAATCTGTGTGATGATGTAAATGCAAACACATAAATGTACAAAACGTGCATATGTACATCATTTGTCTTTGAATGATCTCTATTCCTCTTCCTTTCTATTTCTTTCTCCATTATTTTTCCTCCTATTTAGTATTTACATTTATACATGTACATGCACTTCTGCATTGTCCTGCATTACACCAAAACACATGATTTTATTAATTATTAAAGGGTAACTAAACCCAAAAATTTTTTCCCTGAAATAAGTTGGTAATATAGGAAGAATCATAGGAAAAACAATTAAAGAATGCCATGGTGACTTCTGTGGAACAGAAACACTCTTCTATGACACAAAAGGACTGGCTGACCCAGAGGAAGATGATGAGAAACTATTGAAGACGCTTTACGATGTGATAGCAACGTGCAACATTCAATATATAGTTTTTATTTGTCTGCCCTTAATAAGCGAAGTTGATAGATCAGTCTACAACTTGGCAAAGCTTTTGATCAGCAAATTTGGAGAGAATTACAGTATCTGGCTTAACAGTGTCATCGTGCTGACACAAGCTAATCTCTTTTCTCCTCAAAACGGTGAAGAGGAGAGCGATGATGATGACGATGATGACAGGAAGCTTGAAATAAAGAAGTAAAACTGATAAACAAGATGGAAAACTGGAGCAAAGAGTTCAAAACTTGTCTGGAGAGATTTGGGCTGCCAAAGGAAATCATATTGAATATGCTGGTGAGTGTTGCAGGGAGAAAGAATCCAAAATTACCGATCATGGATAACTGGAAAGAGATCCTTTTGGATAACTGCTTAAAGCGTCGAAAGGGGCTACAGAGCATTAGGGAGATGGAAAATGTGCAAAAAGGTCATCAGCTTATATTGGAATGATCGTTGGTGGTATAGCTTGCTGTGTAGTACCAGTGATTGGAATACAAGTTGGGGGCTTGATTGGTTGAAAAATTAGAGATAACTCATACAGAGGAGCAGTAAAAGAGGCAGAGCAAAAGAAGTTCCAGAAAAGGCACCTGTAGAATGACCTTATAATGGTTGGCTTGTGTGATATATTATTAATATTACACTATTATTACTATTGTTGTTGTTATTGTTATAAATCTATAGATAGAATTTGCTTTTAAAATCTTTAGTGCATAAAACAATGAAAGGCTAGCTGGGATCAAATTAGGTTCTAAGGTGATGTAAACTACTTTAATAAACTGGACAGTCAACTTAAATACTATCATCAATAATAATAATATATCTAGCACCACCCCTAATGTTATCTATTAATAAAATAATTAGTAGATGTTATATCAATTAATAGTTAGCTCAGTACCTACACCAGTAACAGTGAAGGTAGGCTCAATGGCAGTGAGACCAGATGAAGAAGAAATAGAACTAGAAGAACAACAAAGCAGAGAAGCAATAGCAGATCGAGAACTGAGTATTCAAGAAGATACTGTAAGCCACAGAGATATAATAGTAGACCAAGAACTAAGTATTAGTATCCAGCCTCAAAGCCCACCAGAATCATTTACAATTTTCGTAATTGGTAAGACAGGAGCTGGTAAATCGTTACTCATCAATTCATTACTGGGAGAGGAAGAGGCACTAGTGAGTGATGGTTTACATCCAGCTGGACATAAACCACTAGAGAGGCATGATGGAGTGTTCTGTGGTGTACCCACTACATTTTATGACACAAGAGGAATAGGAGATCCGAAATTCAACAAAAAGGAACTCATAAAGGAGTTTAAGAAAACCATAAAGTCAAAAGGAGATCGATACCTCAT